TTTCATTCAAATTTGGCACATACATGTACTTTATACATGTTAGGATGCATATCCATGACAATTTGTTTCAAAATCTGGTCAAGGATGGCCGATTGACAGCCATCTGACTTTTTGGCCTTACTACTATATTTCCACAATTTATGTACCATTTTCATTCGTATTTGGCACATACATCATACATATCAGTGTGTTTCATAATCAGATCAAAGATGGCTGAATAACGGCTGTTTTTATTTTGGCCATATTACTATGACACGAAACACGTGTTTTGATGTAAATAAACAATCTGTTGTATACGCCACTTGGAACTCAAGTTTCAAGGACACGCTCGCGACAACCCCTCCGCTTTAATATGACGAGCACAAAGAGAACTTAACGGGGACTGTGCATTTTCAATGACTTGTTTATTTATTTATTTTTATTTATTTATTTTTTTAAGGACCTTCAACTTCAGGTCAGTTATGAAAGATTGGTGTTGTTAAGCATGTTGTGGTTACTTTGTTTTAATGAGATAATTTTGATGTGTGCTTCCATCTTTAAATCTCTTCATTCTTTTACCTGTGTTTATATGTTGTGTGTTTTAATAACTATTGAACTTGTGTTATTTATATGTTTTATTTATTTATTTTTTTATTTTTTTTATTTATTTATTTAATTATTTATTTGTTTGTTTATTTATTTGTTTATTTATTTATTTGTTTGTTTATTTTAAGGATCTTCAGATTCAGGTCAGTTAAGACAGGTTGCTGATATTAGCATGTCATGATTTAACTGAAGAACATGTTATATTTGCTGTGTGCGTTCATTCTCTGCCTCATTCCACGTTCCTTTGTTACATAATTACTACAGTGTCTAGATATTGTTTAACAAGCATTGGCGTCATTTATTAATCTTCTAATTAATAATCTTTCACTGAAGCCGTCCCTTGGTATTGTAATTAGTTCTTTACATATCAGGGTTATATCAAATGTGATATATTGTAATTAGTTCTTAACATTTCAGGGCTATATCAAATGTGATATATTGTAATTAGTTCTTAACATTTCAGGGCTATATCAAATGTGATATATTGTAATTAGTTCTTCACATATCACGGTTATATCAAATGTGATATATTGTAATTAGTTCTTCACATATCAGGAATAGATCAAATGTGATATATTGTAATTATATCTACATATCAGAGTTATATCAAATGTATATATTATAATTAGATCTTCACATTTCAGGGTTATATCAAATGTGATATATTGTAATTAGTTCTTCACATATCAGGGATAGATCAAATGTGATATATTGTAATGAGTTCTTCATATATCACGGTTATATCAAATGTGATATATTGTAATTAGTTCTTCACATATCACGGTTATATCAAATGTGATATATTGTAATTAGTTCTTCACATATCAGGGATATATCAAATGTGATATATTGTAATTATATCTACATATCAGAGTTATATCAAATGTATACATTATAATTAGTCTTTACATATCAGGGTATATCAAATGTGATATATTGTAATGAGTTCTTCACATATCACGGTTATATCAAATGTGATATATTGTAATTAGTTCTTCACATATCACGGTTATATCAAATGTGATATATTGTAATTAGTTCTTCACATATCAGGGATAGATCAAATGTGATATATTGTAATTATATCTACATATCAGAGTTATATCAAATGTATATATTATAATTAGATCTTTACATATCAGGGATATATCAAATGTGATATTGTAAATAGATCTTTACATATCAGGGATATATCAAATGTGATATAATGTAATTAGATCTTGGATATTTAGATGATATATATCGTAATTAACACTCTACATATCAGGAATATATCAAATGTGATATATCATAATTAGATCTCACAATATCGGAATATCAAATGTGATATATTGTAATTAGATCTCTACATATCACA